GTATGACGTGACGTATGCCCGTCTGCATTAGCCCAGTTCGGAGCAGAACAGTAAGACGTTAAACCCCATTTCATTTCATTTCATTTCTACAAATCATTATAGTTTAGAGAGAGAGAAAGAAATGGGGTTTAACGTCCACTCTACACAAACTAGGTCATTTCGGGACTAACATATGGTTCAATTTTATTTTTATAATTAGCAGTGGGAGGAAACCGGAGGACCCGGAGAAAACCCACGAGGATTATAGTTTAGACAACGTCCTATCTATGTACTTGTGCGGTCTACATGCGTCCTATCTGTGTACTTGTGCGGTCTACTGGCTGTAACAGTTCCATGCTGTCAACAATACAGCTAGTATGGTTTATAATCGCATCGTCTTCAACAAAACACGTTTGACGACACAATTGACGACAAGGATGCTTTTCAGTTATTTCAAAGGCGATTTACATATCTGTAATATATACAAGACAAAACGCACACCTGGAAACCACTAATTCCTATTAATATTTCACTCATTGTCAATATGAGTCGGATTTACTGGGGATAATGCCGAATATTCTACTTAGAATTCTTACTGCGACAATCATTGCCAGCGAACAACAATAATTATTTCAAACGCCAATTTCAAGCGTCTTTATTATCCGTGCCTTCGCTGGATTCCAGCTGTTGTAAATGAGACAACTGTTTAACAGAGAAACTAACTTATTAATATCGAATTTTTGATAACCTACAAGACGCGTCATTAGTTCACCTTTCCAGGGACGTGGGGTGATAGCATAAGGCCAATTCCTTTTTGTAGTTGAAGATACCTTTGAAATGACATACTGGGAAACTTGTAGATTTTGAAATTTTAAATTACTTAGCGAGATATTTACATCTGAAATCCCCTTCTTCGTTAGCCCAGCCGGGGCAGAACAGTGGGACGTTAAAATGCTATTTAGAAATCCGAAGACTCCGCGTAAACGCCAAATGGTAATTATAAACATCTCGTGGTCAGACCCCGCGCCTGTAAGCGCATACGCATTAACCCCCTAAACAAACGAAACACAATTAGGCTACATCCGACAAGTATTCGTTTTCAGCGCCTAAGCCGACATTCCTTTAAATCATTTTTTGAAAGAAACAAATAGAAGCTATAAAACTATGGACTAGGATTGTGATCTTCTGAATGACCATCGAATTACCGAAAACATTAAGGTTCTCAATATCATTTTTCTTCCCGCCTTCAAAAGAAAGCAGGGGACTATTAAAATGGGTCCGTCCGCCCGTCTGTCTCTGTCCTACTTTTTGGGACACAATAACTCCCCTTCTAATTGAGCTAGAATGTTTAAACTCTGTGTAGGTGTTGCATAGGTTAATGGCTTGATGAACTTCGAAGGTGAGCATTTTCTGATTAGGCTAAGTAGCGATAAACAATTTGATTGGCCAAGACTTTGGAACATAACAATTTATTAGGTGAATGTCGTGACTGAATTCAATGATTAACATTTTCCGCAAAGACTAAGCAGAACTGAGCAATTTCATTGGTCGATACTTTGGAACAAGATAACTTTTGATTCTAAATAATGGAGAGTATACTTTCTCTACCAGATACTTCAAAACCTTGACTGAGTTCGATTGTGGGCATTTTCTGCTCAGACTATGTATATAGATAATCAGCTTGATTGCTCGATACTTTTCAGAAAGATGTGTCAGTCATCTACTTATTTTGGGACTTTTTTGAGCGAATTATTAAAATGAGTTGTACCATGTTATTCACGAAAAAACCTAGTTTGTGTATAGTGAGCATCTCTCGCCCCCCCCCCCTTCTCTCCCCCCCCTCTCTCTCTGGAAGGAGAGAACTTCATCTGGACTCATTATTAAAAAAAACTGTACAATGTATTAATTAAAATATTAATCTACTATAACTGTATATCAGTATGGAATGATTTCTTGGGACATAGTAGTAATTTAGTCAATCATTTGTTATTCACCTTAAAGGAGCTAAATCGCTAACATTTGGGACCTAGAAATTGACAAAAGTGGGTCGCAACGCATATAATACTGTAATATGAATGTATATAAACTGATTTACATTCAATGGTTTCCGTTTTTACTCCAATTTCAAATCAGTTATGTTCGGCGAAATAAGCCAGCAGCCTCAAATTTCTAGCGTCTGGTTATTCCTGTCTACATACGCCGTTTGATTTGATGCAATGTGTCTAACCTCGTCCCTCGAGTCTCTTGATATATCTGGGGCTGAAGCGCATTATGGTACACGATTCGTGTACCAATGGTAAAATTTTTATTTTGTCTTAAATATTGGATATCAAAATCTCATCTTTTTCCGGTAAGATCACAACATCAATGTTGATTTAATTTGACAAATAAATCGTGCTTTCAATGTTGAAGATTTTGGATGATATTGAGTTAGAGACTTAGCTACTTTAATGTTACACCATGTAGGTTTACTAGATACCACGTCCTCATCAGCGCGGTTGGCGCGGAAAAAAGTAAAACGTCATAAACACCATTTTCATTTCATACTTAGGACCATAAATGACGCGCTTTGTGTCGAGTGAACGTTAAACCCCCATCCCCCGCCCCTATTTCTGGTGCTAAAATAGTATTGATTATTTATTTATGGTCATTTATAATATAATTATATTATTTTGCTGGAATAAATTTTCTCATAATATATTAATGATATTTTACGAGCGATGGCGTGGTAGTTATTTTTTTCCCCGAGAGAATTTGTTATCCAGTACGAGATACTTTATGTTCTAGTAAATCACCTTTCCGAAGTCAAATATACGCCTTTTATTGGGTTATTGTTGTCTTTCGCGGTGATATCTAGAACTAAGAGTGTTTTTCGATTAATTCCTCATTCTCTCATTAATAATAGTTTATAATCCCTCGAGTTATGTTCTAAAATAAAAACATTTGTCGATTAACTTGATTACTAAATAATATGATAATATCATCGGGTATAACAAATGCTATTTAATGACGAAGATGCAACTCGCAAAATATGATCAGTAACCATACCAGGTATAGTTTAAAGACTACAGTGGCTTGCCCAGTCCTACAATTAATGTGCATACGTGGATGGAATGGGATGGGTTAACGTGTGGCGATTTTGAGAAGCGAATTTCTTTTTTGTGGAGGTGGGTTAATTACGTCATAATTTGGAAAATAACATTATGCGAGAGAAATCGATTAGAACATCGATTTGAACTGATATCTAATGTTGCCAATATTTTGTTTTACACACGAATCATTAACTGGCGTATGGCTCTATTCTTTGGAACCTTAAAAAAGACGAAAATTGTTTTAAAAAAAATAATTCCTAATGTCCCGTGAAACACACGAACGCCAATCGTTTGCGCTGCTTAGTAGATTATTCTACACGTTTTTTGGCGGGGGGGGGGGGGGGTATTTTATCTTGTCGTTTTCCATCGATCATTTTGCATTATCTCGACATTGTCTTTTGGGATATGTTTTTCTTTGTTCATTACAAATGGCCCTCGAAACTTAGAGTACAAGACGTCGTGTACTGATTTAAAATGTTCATACGCGATCAGTCCTCATTTTTAATTACCTCCGCATTGTCTTCTGGGATATGGTTTCTTTGTTCATTACAAATGGTTCTCTAAACCATTATGTTCAAAAAGTACACTCCGCAGACAATGTATTTCTGAGCCTAGATATTAGTGAGAGAATTACAACCCTTGTTACGATAATAAACAAAGTCTGGATTATCCATTTTTACGTAAGCGCATCCACCAGAAAACGTATTTGAATCCACTAAATATCACAGGATCCAATGACATCGAGAGTTGATTATGGTATTGGTAAGTTAATTAATGTCTAATTAATAATTTAGATAACATTTTAGTCCTAAAGAAGGATCTGCAATAAACAAATTTAGCTCTTATGTAATGCCTGTTTCATTACAGCTGATATATCAAATGCGATGTGTCATCGGGTATCCTGATAAGTTTGTGGAAGTACTTATTTTTTCTAAAAATGGCCTATATAGTTTTTGTATAGACACCCTAGAACAACCTGATACCACTTCTGATACATATAGATTATAGGTTGGTTATCTAGAACACATGATACCACTTCTGCTATAGGAAGGCTATACGTAGATTCGCTAAAACATGTAATACTTCTTATAAAGCGGGTTTTACGTATGGTCTCTAGAACACAGGATACCACTCCTTGTATAATAATACAGGTTTCTAGACCTGGTGATACATGCAGGTTGTACGTAGATACCACTTCTTCTACCGGTTGGTTATACGTAGAGTTCTAGAACACTTAATAACACTTCTTATATCGACAGGTTAAACGTAGGTAGACTTTATAGAATACCAGTTTTCCATTATTTAGTAAGTTTATTTAAAATTTGATCAACTGTCAGCTAATATATCGACCCAAGGTTACTTTCTACCAAATTAAAACCTCATTTAGCTACACGATGAGGCGGGTACGATGCATTAGATGCCTTATAGTTTTCACTTATGTTTTATATTATTCATTTGGAATTTCCACATTTCCAATAATTCAATCTTCTTTTACTTTAAAAAGGTAATAGATATGTAATTGAAACTGTCACTTTATTATTATCACTAGCAATTATTCATTTAATAAATGGGCGAGAAAAAAAAGGAAACCTAGTTTATCAAAACACTCCTGATACCAGTTTCTGGTGAAATATTACAACTTGCTCTATCTTTGTCTTTTTTATCAGAAACAAGGAAGAAACTAAAATATCCAAAAGGGCCATACTACATCTAACAATGACACGCAAGAGTGATAACTTTGAGTGTTTCTTTGATTCAATCAATTTTGAATCATTTAGTTTCGCGTCTACACCATTGGTTAGCTTGTTAGCATTTTTAATGCCTTAGATGATACGCGATCGTGCCATTAAGAGCCTTACCATTACATTTAGCCTATTTCATTACCGCTTGTTTGAGTGATGCCTCGCAGACAATAACATTTCACTTATTTCCAGTAATCAAAGCAGACGATCGATTCGTTGTTCACAACCCCGATTCTTACACTAGGCGGGTCAACATAATAAGCATGAATTGATGACGTCACATAGACTTATCAACAACGAGCGTCTATAAAATGACGCGTCCTGCAAACTTTGATTCTTGCAGTTAAAACTCTTCCCGGGATTCCACAACTCCTGTTTGATACGAAACGTAACGAGAACTTCGCCTTAAAGGTAAGGTATAAACTTTTATTAATTTTTTTTTAGATCCAAGTCATCTGGCGGCAGTGCGAGAACGAAAAAAGTGGGTTCCGTGAAAGTACCTTTTCCGAATCTTTTGTCATATAGCTATTTCCACGGAAAGTTGAAGGGTTATGCAAGGGTATTCAACAGCTGGTGAAACGGACTTCATTTTTCTTTCATAAAGATGTTTTATTCTCAATGATTTTAATATGAACGTATTTAAAAAATATTTTTATCATTTATATATTTTTTAATTGTTTTGTAAGACAAAAAAAAAAAACAAAAACAAAAAAAAAACACAGATCAATTCAAATTTCTGTTGATATACTTTGAATTAATTTAATTCCAAGCAAATACTTCGCACCTCAAATACCTGCCATCTGATATACGGATATGAATAAATTTCATTTATTCATTTCTGTTTTTTCGAATATATTGTGTGTAATGCTTTTTGCGATTTTTTTTTATATAAATGGCAGAGTATGATTAAGAAAAACACAAAATAAAGTTTAGCTGATACATTACGCCATACAGTGTGCTACGGCCCACTGTTATATCGAAGTCCAACTGCCAAGGGATTTTTTACGTGCACGAAAATGTGTACACGGGACCTCAGGTTTTCGTACCATCCGAACGACTAGACAGCTGTACTTGTCAGGCCCTACTGCCAAGGGGAAACCACGCCGGAAAAACCCGATGAACTTTCTCGACCTCCAGGCTAGCGAGCCCTCGTCTTACTCTCGTTGTCTATTTACCATAAATATCGAAGCTTCAGTAAATTCCTGGATTAGCCTGTCAACTTCCTTTTTCCGCCGTTTAATCAGAGAGTCTACTAGATGATTAATTCTCTCAATGTTCTCATAATCGTTAGCCATTAGATTAACACATAAGAAGCGTCCATTACGCCACTTAAAGAGACATGATGCCATTTAGAGAAATGGTCACATTTTCATCTTGACCGCACCCTACGGGTGTGTTTTCGGGGAATCCAGTATTTTTCCTTTAAGGTAGGGTTTCTCTACTTTCCATATACATATATACCAAATTTCCAAACCCTTTCATCTTGTGTGCACCCCATGGGTGTTTTATCAGGGAATATAGTATTTTTCCAGTAGGATTGCGTGTCTCTACTTTCCATATATACCAAAATTGGGCGTCTCTATAAATACCAAAATTGCCATACTTTTATTGGAAATAACTACCCGATGTATACTTTTATGGAAATGTATCTTTAAAAAGGGTTATTCTCAATCTGTTTTAGATAATGTATACGACACTCAATTTTACCATGACATAATTTATGCAAATACGTGTATATGAAATAATAATAACCCCACTTCTGAGAATAACATTTTTTTGTACATGCATGCATAATGACGATACTGTTTTGTACTATGCCGCCAGGGACCACGATGCGATACAAGTGTTCGCATTTAATACCTGCTACGGACAGAACTTGTCTGCGATATCACCCTAGGTGGAAGTGGACGTAAAACTCTAGAAACGAACGAACGAAAGGTTGAAAAAACTGCTGTATGTTACACTAAGGGTTAGCTTTTAAGTAAAAAAAAACTTGTTTATCCAAGAAACGGTAAAAAAATTGGGAAAACACGGTCAAAGTTACCCCTGAATATTACGACTCCTAATATACTTTAGATCATTATATTCTACTACGACATTCCTCACAATAAATAAAATTTAAGATATCCACACATTGTGTTATTAAATCCACGAATGTACAGGAGGGTATAGTAGTTGTAAAATGAAATGAAACCCCATGTGATTTAACTAGAGTTTACACCAGTATTGTCATTCTGCTACCGTCTGATCTCCCTGGCAGAAATCTAGACCAAAAATATGCCCTCTCGCCCAGGTTCTGAGATGTTCCTATCTCCTCCCCGGTTGTATTTTCGTTCGGGTTCTGCAATGCCCCAACCTCCCACCAAAGCTCACTTGGGATTCCAAGGTTTAGCTTACGAGTATGTTATAAACCCTAAAACGTAAATCGGATATACAATAAACCAAGTCTGTGATGATCTGTTAAATTCGTTGTCGTTGTTGCTGTGAGCGTTTCTTCGAGCTTGTCTTTTGTCTCGGTTAGTTTCAGTCATTACCGGTACTTTGCAAACACTAGGTTTTAACATCCTATTTTTCTGAACTGAAAGCGGAATAAAATAGTTGTATTTTCTGTAAAAGGGGCCAAACCGCTAACCCAATATCTTCCATAATATTCGAAATTAAAAACACCAATTATAATTCAATATCAAATATTTAAGACACTATAAGTGAACATTTTAATATCAGTAAAGAAAAACATACCCCAGAAGACAACGCGGAAGTAATTAAAAATAGCTAATTCACAAACGACAAAATATTAATAATAAAAAATAACCCGTGTAGAATGGGCTAAACAAATTGAATGTTAATCAATTTATATACACCCATATTACATTACTGTATGCTTCTAAACTAGAGGGGTGGATGACCGAATGGTTTATTGCGTGGGCTTTATTGTACGGGTTGTTGGGGGACCGAATGGTTAACGCGTGCGCGTTGCATCATAAGGTCTGTCATTTAGTCAAGCGGCGTGGTTTCAATTCCCCGCTTGTACGTGACAAGGAGAAGGATCGCCTTTCCAACTTCGTGGGTTTTCTCCAGGTCCTCCGGTTTCCGCCCACTGCTAAAGACCCATGCGCGCAAGCGAATTAATGAAATAAAATTGAACCATATGTTAGTCCCGAAATGACCTAGTTTGTGTCGAGTGGACATTAAACTCCATTTCTCTCTGTGATTTATACGAGATATGCACCAAGATATACATTACATATGTAATTGATTGACATGTCAGAATTTAAACGTTGCTAATTTCTCAAGCAAAATTAGTGTCGGTGTAACGAATTAGCAGTAGAATATACTTTAGGTTACACGCAATCGGCGGATAAATTACTGGTTTGAGGTTTAGCTCGGTGGCAATAGTGTAATGGTGTTTGAATCATATAATTCATTTAAAACAGTTTTGTGCGCGATTAAACAAAATGTTTTAGGGCGATGTGCAAGGCATGGTATTAAATTGTGAAATTTTACATTCATTAAACAAATTTATGCAAACTTCAGCTGGATTATGTTTATGGTCGCACTGATAAGAAACTAAGGACGCACAGCGCTATACCTTGGGGCCTGTAAAGCATCTAAGACGGGGTTGGTGGGTTGAAGGGGGGGGGGGAGAAAGAGGGGAACTCCCCACCGTGCCACCCCGGCAAATAAGCTATATTACATGCATTGAATATACACTACGTTGGCTCGCTAACCTGGAGGCTCCGTATTAGATTCCTAAGTTGACCGAGAAAGTTCATCGGGATTCCCCCCTTACGAGTGTTGCAGGACGGAGGACCTGGCAAGGGACAACGTATCGTCATTCGGATGGGACGAAAAACCGAGGTCCCATTACAAATTGGTGTGGATGTAAAAGAGCCCTTGGCAGCTGGTATTCGATATAAGAGCAGGTCGTAGTGCCGCTGTTCGGGCATAATTTCCCTCATAGCACACTGCATTGCGAATGCCCGTCTTCATTAGCCCTGATGGAGATGAACAGTAGGACGTTAAACCCCATTTCAATTCATTTCAAAAATCTTTCGAAAAATTTGATTAAAAATCTATAAGCTTTTATTAAATAAATCAATAATATAGAAATACGGCATAAAATAATAAGCCGTAATATCAAACAATTAATTAGCTATTACAAATTAATATGTGATATGAGTATTTCCTGGTTTAACTTGAACTTCAAAGAATAGCAAATTATATAATATAATGAATGCATTTAAAAGATCACTTATTAATAGATTCCTTGGATGGCATTAAATTTTAGTAATTGCAACATAATCAAATAATTACTATAGTATATTACACAGCGACTTTTCAACAAGACTTCACAAGTAGTTCCTTTAGGAACGGTCTCTGATCGGACCGGGGGGTTGGATGGCAGAATGGTTAGCACGTGCGAGCTGTATCTTAAGGTCTGTCACTGAGTCAGCTGGCGTGGTTTCAATTCCCCGGTTGTACTACGTGACAAGGAGTAGGGTCGCCTGTCCAACCTCGTGGGTTTTCTCCGGGTCCTCCACCCCCCCTTCACAGCTAAAGATCCCTACGCGCAAGCGAAATATTGAAATAAAATTGATCTATGTGTTAGTTCCGAAATGACCTAGTTTGCGTCGAGTGGACGTTAAACCCCATCCCCTCTCTCTCTCTCTCTCTCTCTCTCTCTCTGATCGGAACGGATCCACTGACCGTTCCTATTCGTCCCTATTTAGCTTCAATATTAAAATACCTTTCTTCTAAGGCTATTTTGGATTCCTTACGGACTAGTTTTCACCGGGATTCATCTTTGTTCGCCGACATTAATAATTTCGCGCCACATTTGACACAAATTTATAATAATTCAACACTATTTTCAAGTAGAATTTTACGATTAAAAATATCCACAAACACCGATCAGCCATTACGAAACTAACATGTGCAGACCGCATGTTCTTTTTAATCGCAAAATTCTACTTGAAAATAGTCTTGAATTATCATAAATTTATGTCAGGTATGGCGAGAAATGATTTCTTTTGGCGGAAAATAAAGAATCACGGTGAAAAATAGAAGGATTCAGAAATAGCCCTAGAAGAGGTGGGAAAGAGTGGTATTTCCATATTGCAGCTATATAGGCGGATAGGAATAGTCAGCGGACATCGTCCGATCAGAGACCCTTCCTAAAGGAACTACAGACTACAACGTTTCATTTACTAATAACCAGATCGATTATACCAATCAAAACAAATTACACAAAACATTTAATTAAAAAATTGTGAAGCAAGTCCCGATTAAAAAGAACCGTGGCTAGGATAATAAACAATCTATGGCACATCTTGTCAGAACTTCAAACAGTGATAACTTCGCTCAGAATAAAGTAATTTGAATGAAATTTTCAATAAAACATATTCATTTCG